ATTAAAATGAAAAGAAATTATTTTTGAGGTTTTCGTATTTATGACTTTTGATAAGAGAATTAAACAAAATTAAGAAATTAATTAATTAATCCTAATTCTAGTTATTTTTAATTTGTTAAAAAACATGTTAAAGTTAAATCTAAATTAACCTAATTAATTAATGCAATTTGATTTATAAAAATAATAGTAAATAATTAATTATTAGAGATGATAAAATAAAAGAAAAAGTAATTAAAATAATTAAAACCTAATTCTATAAGTTTTTTAAGTTTATTAAGAAAATATTTTAAAATTAACCCTAGAATAAAACTAATTAGTTGATACAAGACTTTATTTACAAAAATATTAGTTAAATAAAATATATTTAATTTTTTATGACTTTTCTGATTTTTGTGTTATTTTTTGTATTATGAAAATGTTAATTCAAAGTTTTAAATGGAAATTAAACAAAAACAAATAAAATAGCAAAATATGAAGAAAAAAATAAAAACAAACCCTGGGGGGTTCTGTCCCCAATTTGGAGGTGTAGCCCTAGCAATTCTGGCCCAATTATGTCAAGGCCTTTTGACTTTTTCAGGAAGCGTGTAACTTCTTTGACTCATGCCCATGGTATTCACCAGATCTAGGCCTTCAAATTGTCTTCAGTGTCCATGTGGCACACTTGGATTAGGGCGTATGATAGGCCTTCAGGGAGCCAGCTGCACAGGATAACGTTAGAAAAAAATTTAGGGAAAGGGAGGGGGACCTGGGATTCGAACCCAGGTCCCAGGAATTACCAACCAAATGCCTTGCCAATGGAGCTGTGAGCGCGTTTTGTTTATAATGTAACTAATAAATAATATGAAATAAAACAAAAGTTAGTGGGGCGTTTTCGCGCGAAATTTGAACGATCCAATCACTGGCCTACACTTCATCATCTTCTCCATCGTTTGTGTTTTTGCCTGAAACATAAAAGAGTTAGCTGGGGTTTTAAACCCCCCCAAAATATGCACTTTTCAATAATAGCGAATAGGCCATATGGCCACATAAATTAGGCGCGATGGGTGTTCTCAAATCGTCCAAGCTCCCTGATTTCAACCATGGCATTAAGGAGTCTCAATTTTACAGTATGTGAAAGTTCCCAAATTGAAACTTGAAGAACCCTAGCTGGCTTTAATGGTGAAATCACGTACAGTACATAGAAACTCAATCAAATTATAGGGTTAGCTTCAGAATCATCTCATTAGTACAAATCAAGAATAAAAATGCATGGATATGGCCTGAATAACAAAACACGATTATGCAAAAAAAGTGATACAGGCTGACTTTTAAGTACCAATTCTTGATGTTGGGAATGATGTTTTTGATTCAGAAACGTCCCTTGAGACCTTTGCAAACTAGTGGAATCAAAGTTTTCCTCTGAATCGTCCTCTAAGGCCAATTTCAGTTTTCAAATTTTTGGCAAAAAACTCAAACTTGACTATGCTTTTCTGGCGCAGCTTAGAGGTCCTGAGCACTAGGGTTAGGTTTGCACTTGTATAGAGAACGAATTTGATCAATAATCCAAGCCCATAGCCTTGCTTTTAATGGTTTTCAAGATTTGATTTTTAAGGATCTTTTCCAATATTTCTTCATGAAGAATCATCTCAATTAGCACCAATTCTTTCCTCTTTTGATATGCACGAAATCCTTAGTGAATCATGAGTAATTGTCTTGCACAAAAAGATTTGAAAACCTAGTTTTGGTATTTTTCATATATTTTAATTTAATTAAATGAATTATTAGCAATTAAAATTCAAATAAATAAAATAAAAATGATGAATAACTTCCCTTTGGGCCAAATGGTCGTTCACATGCTTTGGATGATGAATCTTGGAAGAAAATGTGGCCCATTAGCATTTTTAAGGCATTTGAAGCAATGTTGACTTTTCAAAATATCCAAAAATTTCCCAACTTCCACAAGGCATATCTTGCTCAATTTTTAAGCTTTGCTCATGTTCTTGGACATTTGGGAAAGGTCTTGAAGTCCTCTAACCAATGCTTTTGGTCCCATGTCATTTTGATTTACCAATCTCAAGTTATGGCCTTTGACTTAAAGTCCCTTTTTGTTGACTTTTGAAAATGACCTATAATGTTGAAATTGATAACTTTTTGTGAGAGCATTTCTTGGACTTGAAGTGTGAAGAGGAGTTGTAGTAAATGTATTTCTCTTCAAAATGAGCTTTGGATGGAATTTTTCTGATTATCCATGTGAAAGTTATGCCTTGGTCAAGTTATAGTTGACTTTTTCAACTGTCCAAATATGGAAACTTTTGCATCTTGAGACTTTTTGAGCCAAGCTTTGAAAATCATGATCAAGAATTGATCAAATGATGTTTGTGGCTTCAAAATGAGATGTTGACCAAAAATTTGGACTTTTGACTGTCAAATGACCATTTTGCCCCTACAGTTGACTGTAGTGTAATTAGGGTTTTTGACTATGCAATTTTGTGCTGTAAGTCTTGAAACTTGGTATGAGGATGCTTGACCATATTTGTAGGCATCTGGGACTTGATTGGACCCTTGGAAACTTCATTTTCTTTGTCAGAACCAAAACCCTAATTTTTGACTGTTAGGAGGCCCTTGAACTGTGCAACCCTTGAGGAGATTTTGAAGCTTTGACTTGGCAAATTTTGAAGAATATGGGAGGGCAAATTTTGGGGTACAACAGTATTCTTTGATGAAGATTCCCCTTCGGCTGGTTTCTTCGTCCTTGAAATCCACCTTCGGCTGGCATCCTTAAAGTCCACCTTCGGCTGGCATCCTTAAAATCCACCTTCGACTGGTATCATTTGTTGAGAGTCCCCTTCGGCTAGTCTGTTTTCAGTTGTAAGTTCGCCTTTGATTGGCGTGCTTTTTTTAGGAATCTACCTTCGGCATAGTATTCCTCGATGAAGATTCCCCTTCGGCTGGTTTCTTTATCCTGAAGTCCACCTTCGGATGGAATCCCTTAAAATCCACCTTCGGTTGGTACCCTTCGTTGAGAGTCCCCTTCGGCTGGTCTTTTTTCAGTTGTAAGTTCGCCTTTGATTGGCGTGTTTTTTTTTAGGAATCTACCTTCGGCATAGTATTCTTCGATGAAGATTCCCCTTCGGCTGGTTTCTTTATCCTGAAGTCCACCATTGGCTGGCGTCCCTTAAAACCCCGCTTCGGCTGGTATCCTTCGTTAAAATCCATCTTCAGCTGGTATCATCTGTCCGGAGTCCCATTCGCTTAGTCTCTCTTCTCAGTAAAGTTCGCCTTTGATTGGTGTGCCTTCGTCAGAGCCTCCTTTGATCGGTATCTCCTTTTTGTATGTCTAACTTTGACCTGACATCCAAGAGATTTACTCGGTTAACTATTGTAATCCAAAAAGTAAATAATAATAATAATAATAATAATAATAATAATAATAATAGAAAAAAATAGAAAACCAAAAATATATTGTATACCTGACTGACTCCGGAGCGCAAATTTTCGGGTTCTTTTAAGTATTTAATCTTCTTCTACTTCGAAAGTTCGAAAGGCTGACGCCAATCTCACCTTCAGGTTGAAGGCGATTAAATAGGGGCAGTTGTTGCACCCCAAAATTTGCCCTCCTAATTTCTTCTATCTGGCTTAGACTATCGCATTCATCTATATTTACTCCATTAGGTCATTAACATACATTGGCATTCAATAAAGCGCTTGAGGTTCAAATTTCAGCGGTTGTGCGATATTAGGGTTTCGCAACAGTTAAGGTGTTTGTATCCAATAAAGCCTGATTCTTCTGATTATCCTTAAAGCAATGAAGTGTGGAATTAGGATTGCAACCTATGCTTATGGAGGGTTTTGTTCTCTTCAAGTTAAGAAGGGTTATTACTCATTCAAGACAAGAGTCAGAGTGTTTCTCCACCAAGTTTGTGCTTGATAGCATTTCATCAATCGAGGTTCATTAGGTTTTCTAAGTCATGGCCAGCTTGGTCATATTCCTCTTTGTATCCCCAAGTTCACTTCCAAATTGTTCTACGAGGTCATCTAAAGGCTACTAAATCAGGCATTCCTTATCTCCTTGTGCTCAACATCATCCTTTGATTAGGGTTTATTTCTCTAAATCATGTACCATTCAGGAGAGGTTTCTCTGTGAAGTTGTGATTATCAGGCAAGGCTACCATCAGGGGATGTCGTCCATGAACAACCAGGGTTTCAATTGATATATCTGTGGAAAATAAGAAGGAAATCATTGCTTGAATTTCTAGTCATGTGGGCAACAACTCTCTTCTGTGTGAAAGAAGATTCAATTGGACCTTCTTCACGAATTAGGGTTCGTATGCCTTATAATGCAAAACTCTTCATCTGGTCGATTGGCTTACTTGCGATATAACCTATTTTCTTTGGATTTCATTTCAATACTTTGAAGATCAAAATCTAAAAGCTTTGTGTGAAAGTTTAGGATTTATATCCTATCGTACTTGGGTTTATCAACATCTTCAATGGAGGTTCATGGGATGATAAGGCGTGATATAAGGATGGCATTGTGAATTCACCAGGATCAAGGGCATTATCGTTCTCAACTGTTTGATCGCTTGTATTGCAAGTTGGCCTGGAACAGGGAAGACTGAGACAGCAAAAACAGCAATGCAATGCCTGGCTGCCCTTGGTGGTGGAAGTGGAATAGAGCATGAAATATTAAAGACTAATATAATACTTGAAGTCTTTGGAAATGGAAAAACATTGAGAAATGACAACTCAATTCGTTTTGGAAAACTCATTGAGATTCACTTCAGTTAAACAAGAAAAATATCTGGTGCTAATATTCAAACATTTTGTTGGAAAATTCTAGAGTAGTCCAATGCAACGAAGGGGAAAGGTCATATCATATATTTTATCAACTATGTGCTGGAGCACCACAACCTCTAAGGGAGAAGCTAAATCTACAAAGTGTGGAAGAGTATAAATATCTGAGGCAGAGAAATTGTTATTCAATTACTGGCGTTGATGATGCAGAAGAATTTCGTATAGTCATGGATGCTCTAGATGTTGTCCACATTAGCAAAGGAGACCAGAAGAATGTATTTGCAATGCTTGTTGCAGTTTTATGGTTGAGAAACATATCATTTACTGTGATCAATAATGAAAATCATATTCAAGCTGTTGAAGATGAGGGGCTATTCAACACTGCCAAGTTAATTGGATGTGAAATTAAAGATCTGAAGTTGACTTTATCAACTCGCAAAATGAAAGTTGGTAATGGTATTATTGTCCAGAATTTGACGCTATCTCAGGCCAGTGATGCAAGAGATACTTTGGCGAAATCTATTTATGCATGTCTATTTGATTGGCTGATCGAACAAATAAACAAATCACTAGCCGTTGGCAAAAGAAGAACTGGTAAACCTATCAGTATTCTAGATATATATGGCTTTGAGTCATTCGATAGAAACAATTTTGAGCAGTTCTGCATAAATTAAGTAAATAAAAGATTACAGCAATTTAATCGGCATTTGTTCAAGCTAGAACAGGAGGAATACATGAATATATCCAAGATGTAACTGACTGGGCTAAAGTTGAATTTGAAGATAACTAAGACTGCCTTAATCTTTTGAAAAGAAACCAATGGAACTATTATCCTTGACAATGTGGTTCTCATTCACAATCAGTTATTTGGATCTGATGACCTAGTCCAAGCTCCTAGAATCTTTAAAATTTCTGATGTAGACCGGTTGCATTCCTTCAGCGAGTCATATAAATTAGGTACCAATTTAGTCGAAGGTGCCCATTCTCCAAATTTGGCCAGTTTAGATGCTAAACTTGTTCCAGAGCACTTGCTTTATCTCTCGATTGACCGCGGAAGGAAGTTTCTTTCGTCATCTAAATCTGCAAATAGATACAATTTTTACAAGGATTCAAATGCTCACGAGATTGAACGAATGTTGAAAGTACTTGCACCCCTAAGACAACAGATTATGTCCAATCTAAATGAGTGGGAAGAACATAATGATCTTCAAAAAAATTGGCTGTCATTGACATGCTCCTGATTCTTCCATCTAATATCCCTCTAAGCCTATAATGCTATAACCATCAGCCTCTTGAATTATGACCCAGTCTGGAATTAATCAAGGTTGGCTTGTCTTCAGCCTTCGATGATTGTACCCTGCTGCTACGCTGGTAGTCGTAAATATACGGCCGAGACCAATTTATCTTGCCTCGTATTTGAATCTGCAGCATTTTAAAAAGTCAAACCAAATTCTTCTAAACAATTTTAAACTAACAAGATTTTCATTGCTAGAACCAAAACTGCCAAAGCTGATTTCTAACTCACTATACCAAAATTTATTGAACTCAGAAATCTCAAAAATTTTCAACATTTAACAAATAGAATTGTAACAGAATTTATAACTTCCCCACTAAAAAACCTTGCATTACCAGTTCAGCCCTGTATTAAAATTAATAAAACCAAACAAAAAAACTGAGCATAACAATTCTCTAACTAACAGTTAGCCAAATTCTAGCTCTGTTCTAACTGCTTCTAACAAACTTCAACAGAATTTCCTAATTTTCTATAACATACTCCAAACTGTTTTCCTAAGCCAATTTTCTATAACAAACCAAAAACAGAATTCCCAACTAATCCATAACCAACTCTCAGCCCTCTATATAATGGAAATTCAGAGATTGCAGAGGGAGATATATATCATCATTTGGTTCAGATTCATTACAGTTATTCAACACACAAAAAAGTCTCAAGAAACTCACCAAAAAATATCAAGTTTCTCTATGCAGTCTCTGAAAATCTGAGTTTTTCTTTGCATCATCTTCAAGCAACATTGTCGATCCTTCTCTCCGAACCTCTTCATCAACTTACTTCCTCTCTCTGCGACATCAATCCCTCAAGCGCATCAATTTTCAATTCATCTACGATTCCTCAACATCAATAGTCACCTTTCATCACCTTCTGCAAGAGTTCTTCATCACCAAAACCATCGCCAGAACAAGAAAACAACAATACCGATATCATCATCATCTTCGGATTCGTTTCTACAATCATGACACAACACTCATGGAGACAAGGTAGAAGACGAAGTAGAAAGTTCAAAGTGGGAGAAAATATTGAAACAAAGGTCTCAGAAGCATACCTATGAGTTTCGTTCAAACCTCTTCCATCTCCTTCGGTAAAGGCGCGATTTCCGATACCTTTTCAGTCTATTCTTGATATGGTTGCATCAAGGGAATTAAGAGGAGTGGTAACCCCTTTTAATTGAGCTTCGAAACGCTATCATGGGCATTTAATCTGAGTATTAAAAAAATAGGGTTTAGTCTGTTCTTGTTGGATACGAGCAAAATCAGAAGAAAAGAGCCACAAATATGAACTCGGCAAGATGAGATTGAATAGAAGTTGTTCGAGGCGAGGTAGAGAGAACGGAGCGGAAGATAAGATGAACAGAGTTGATCGACGATGGAGATAAGGCGCCGTTGAATATTGCGAGAGAGAACATGAGATTTCGTGTTGTTACAAGGAGCTGGATAGCCACAAGCTGAAACCTCATTCCTTTCCAAACGCACCGTTTCATGATGTATTTTTTCTTTTAATTATTCTCAAGTTTTTTTATTCAAAATGAACAAATCATTGCTGAAATATTTGATGGGCTTGTGTTGCTGTAAATTGAACCGAGGCCCATTGGCTTATAAGCTTGCAACAAAAAGACCTTCTTGGACTTATTCTGCATTGGGCTCAATACCAATTTGTTTCAGCACACATGTTTCTTGGTTCACCCCCCTTGACTCTTTTTCGTTTTATTTTAGTCAATTTCTTGTTTTTATAATTTTTGTTAATAAAAAAACATTAATAAAAAAATGTTAGATTTTATGAGACATTTTGGGAATTAAATCATGATTATCCGATTACGTGAGATTTGTGACTTATTTTTTCTTGTTGAGATTTGAGTCTTATGCAGGATATACGGATACACTTGAGTTTTCGATTGCGATTTATTTTCGCACCAATGATGCTTCGACAATTATTTCGAGCGTTTAACTTCCGACTCTTTTCTTGGATTGGTGAAGCTTTCGCAAAGGTCATCGGGCTTCTTTGTTTTGATACGCTTCGTTACAGATTGGTATCCATTTGGTATCGTCACAACTCTATTTTGTTCTTCATTTCTGTATTTTACCGCAAGCTATGCATGCTAACATCAGGTAGAATTCCTTTGAAATTCTAACTTTAGGTCTAACAATGCATGATAAAATTAGGTTTAGAAATAGGCTAGTCTCACCTTGACTTTTCTTTTTTCTTTTTTTGCATATGCATTTAAAACAAAAAACTTCTTTTTCTCGTAAACTTCAAAAGATACTTAAAAATTACTGACGTGAATCGCGGCTTTGTTGAACATGGGAGATGATAAGCGTGTCTCTTCTCGATCTTATCGTTTTTCCATTCTAAGCCTTGGTATGGTTCAAGTTACAAAGAGTTATTTCACGAATAAGTAGAGAAATGGCTAAAATCTCTCTTTTGAGATTAACTAGTTGTTGTCTACAAGCAAAAATATCAACAAACACAAAACTCTTTTTGCCTTTGGGCTTTCCTTCCAAATCTTTTCAAAAGAACAAGTTAATTCACTTCTGTGTTGACGCGTAAGTCTTCAAAGGTCGAGTTGCAGCAGAAGGTGAAATTAATATCGTTTGCTACAAACACAAACAAATTCAAAAAAATTGTGTGCCCAGGCACATTTTCTCCAAACCTTTTCAGAAAGAATATGTTAGTTCACTTCTGTGCTGACGCGTAAGTCTCCAAAGGTCGAGTTACGGTAGAAGGCGAAATTAATATTGTTCATTAAAAAATACAAAACCAACAAAAACATATAAGCCGAACTACGGCTGCTCTGATTCCTTAAAAGGGATACATAGGCATCGGGGTAGGGCTCGAACAAGCACAATTTTATTTTCCCTACATTTCCCCCCTTTCTTTAGCATGCATTCTCCCCTTAGAAATAGTAAACAACTTAATATAGATTGAACACACCCATAAGATAGACAACAAAAGTGGATACCGTAGAGTACTACGGGCGTGTGGGGTGATAATACATTCCCCTCGCATAACAGGCTCCCTTATCTTATCTCTCGGTCGCAAGGCTGTGACTTCTCCCTTCTCGGGTTTTCCCGGTGTTTGCCTTTCCCTACGTATGGGATAAAAGACGTTCGATGGCGACTTCATTGTTTGATGATTTTCAGCCGGTTGTTTCAGACGTATATGATGTTCATGATGTCCATGATGTTATGTACAAGTATGTATATACAAGCAAAGCAAACAAATCCTTAGTTTAGACTTGCATGGAGTTTTATAGGTAAGTACCCTCTTGAAGTTTAGTTGGCTTAAACCTATCCTAGTAATAGTAACCGGGTTCTAAGGAGCTCAATATCACTGGATTGTTTCCTTGGTCATTGTTTCAGCTCAAGCCTCTTTAGTGGCGACCGAAATATCCCAAGAAACCAAACCTCAATGAGTGTAGTGTCGAGTATCTACCAACTTCGGACTGCACCAAAGTCGGTCATCTCACTACATCCTAAAGGCCAAGTTTGTCAAGTAAAGGTTCTAGAAGTTCATTAGTGCTTCATGACATCACTCAACAGCCCCGTATTCTCTTTGATTAAGTCAAAGGCTACCGGTACCCACAAATATGTCACACTAACGTAGCTATTGCTTAGACTATGTCAGTATACCCCGCACAGTTTCCACAACGTATTGCTACTTACCTATAATGTATCCCAAATCCGGGTAGAGGATTCAAACCCAAACAAAGCCATAATGTAAAGGATACAAGTCAAACAATGTAAGCAAGTAAATGTGATCTAATCCCTAAGGTAACCCCACTTTTAGAATTGTCCCCAGCAGAGTCGCTAGTTCTGTAATACGGTGGGAGAACTGACTTGATTGTTTTGCGTTTTATCGCAAATATTATGGTTAGCAAGAGTCGCCACCGACTTTTCTTTTATCCAAAAAGAAAGGTGAAAAAGCGCAAGAAATACCTTTGAGATTGTTTCTTGAGTTCGGGGGGGTAGATTATGAAAAAGGAAGGTATTAGCACCCTTTTCATCCATGGTTTTCCATGGGCTCTTAGCTTTCTAGATCACTTGCTTTTGTTTGAAATTGTGCTTTGTGTGGTTTTTGAAAGTATTTTGTAAAGAGGCCATTGTTAGGAAATCTTTGTAATGATTCTCGTTCGTAAGAATGTATACAAAGATGTTGATCTTTTGAAAATGTTTTCAATTTTGTAAGATGTTTGAAAGTGTAGGTGATTATTTTGAAAATAGCAAGGGTGTTTGTTTTGAAATAGAGCAAGTAATTAGGAGAAATCTACCTACTCAAATGTCTTTCTGATTCATTTTCTTTTCCTTTGACATTGTTGTCTTACCATTGATTTGGTAAGCAACCCTATCTTTGGATGTAAACGGGACGGGCGTGGGTCATCGTGTAGCCATGATTAGAAATGTTGCGAGGTATCTAAGCATTTCTTTTTGAGGGACTAAGATCATTGTGAAAGGCAACATTTATAGCATCATCGAGGGACTTTGATCTTGTATTTCGATTGTTTTTGCTAAAACACCCCACATGCATAACATGACCATTTTTTAGGCAACAAGTGGAGTTAACCTTAAGGGTGCTAGTGTGCAAGTGTGTTTGATTGCACGAATTTTAGTCTTGATTAGGGTGATCTATTTGTTGATTTCATGTCTTTCCATACACACCCTAATTACTAGCATTTACATTCAAAAGCGATAAATTGCAGAAATGTAAAGTCCTACGCTATTACAATATTTTAGGGATGGGGGTACATATTTATGAATAGGGTTGCAAATAAAATTAAGTCCTAAGTTACTATTACAACCATATTGAATGGATAAGAATGTACAAGAAATGTGAAATGGACTTGTTTTGTAAAAAAGGAAATAAGTTTGGTTTGAGAAAACATTTTTGATCTTTTTGTTTTAAGAAATAAAGTAAAACATGTAAAAATGAAAAATGTCTTTGGTGTTTTTTTTATTAATGAAATAAAAAATGATAGCAAAATAGTGAGGAAAAAGAAAGTAGAATCAGCATATTGCTGACTAAAGGAGGTCCGAAGTTCTGACTCTGGCGTACTACAAAACAGATATCCTATTAGTGAAAAATAGGTAAAGTCAGAAGTTATGGGTCCGCTGGGAACAAAGAAAATTTCAGAAGTTCTGATACCACTGGCAGAACTTGGTCTCCCTCTCCATGCTAGTCGGAACATCTGAAACTTGGTCATTTCTCAACAAAACAGAAGATGCGCATATGACAGTTATGGCAGGTTTCATAGTGTTTCAGAAACAAGAAATATCAAAACTATAAATCAGAGGCAAGCATGAATTTGCTAATCCTAATTCTGAGTTTTAATTTCTTCAAGAGGTTTTGAAATGATTTACTCCATACTTAGGCGGACAAATACGTGAAACCTCAGAATATGTATAACATCATAAACATGATGTCTACATTGTATTTTTGAACATGCAAATCTAGTAATGCTTAAGTAATGTGATGAGAGTCAGCAGAAACTTACCTTGCAGCTGGAAAAGATTCTGTGAACTGGAGTTTGGTCCTGAACTCTGGTGATGTTCTGAGCAACTTCTTCACGTACTCAGCAGGTTGGAAGTTTTCAACTTCTGGAACAACCAAGGGGTGATGTTCTGACTTCTTTGAGGTGGAGGTTGATGGAGAGTGTATTGCAATATGAATATAGAAGTTAGGATAGCTTCTAATATGTGAATTAGAAACTGTGTGGATGGTTTTAGTCAAGAAACACTTGAGAACAAATGGAGTTTGAATGCAAGAAATCAAAAGTTAACATATTTGTATTTTTGTGTTTGCAACTTTGGCCTCTTGGAATTTTAGCAGGGGTTCAAGGCTTTTTCTTTCTTAATTTTATGACCCTTTTACAGTTGCAAATGTAGTTCAATTTATAGGCAAGGATTTAGTAGCTTGGAGAAATCAAAGGTACATCCATCATATGCTAGGCGCTGACTTATTCTTGAAGCAAGTTCAAACAAGTATGGTTCAAGGCACAAACTAAGGTGGTTAGCAGCTTTTAGCCGTGCCTAAGCTGGATTTGTAAGCATGAATCAAGGAAAAGTACCCTCAGAAGCAAAAGCGAAGCATGGGCCCAGCATATACTTTGTACAAAATCTGCTTTTCAAGGACATCAATGATACTTCTATACCACACGTGGGGAAATCCTTTGGATAAAGACTCAAAAGTAGTTGTGAGCATTAAATGATGATGAGATTTATCAAACCAGAAATACTACAATGTGAGATTTTGCATCATTGTTTGATTCTAGGTCAGAAGTTCAGCTTCAGCATAATTTAGAGTGAACATCCAACTTCTGATCTTTGTATCTCCTTGCTCCAGCATGTTCTGAAGAAACTCTCAGACCTTCTAGGAAACTTGTAACATACTTTGTAGCCTTCTTTGAATTACCTTTGTAAACTCTGACCGAACCATTATGAAAATTGGCCCAGAAGTTCTGACCCAACTCTGTCTTAAAAGTTCCCAAAGTTTGCTGAGTGCTTCAGTTTCATGGACGTATCTTTGAACATTTATAACTTGAAATTTCAGTATTTCCAGGAGAAGTTTTGTTCTGCAATGTTTTAGATCTTATTGAAATCTATAACTTTTGTTCCATAAGTTCTTACAGAATCAGCTTGCATCATG